TTGGGTTGTTTGGTCTAAACAGGGGGTATTGGGAGTGGGTGAATCTTTAGTCTGGGTAGCATGGTCGGAGAGAGGGGGGGGGGGGGGGGGGGTGTTTATTATTCGTTTCCGTTTTTTCTCCTGGGTGGGAGCGGCAGAGGGGGTGGAGGTGTGTGGGGGGGGGGGGGGGGAGATGGGGCTAGAGGGGGAGGGGTCCATAGACTGATCTGGCATGGTGCATACAGGCAAAGTTTGGGTGATAATATTCACGTGTGACGCATTGTCAGTGGCTTGAGCTTGGCTTGGTTGAGGGCGGGTGGGGTGACGAGCCGGAGCCGTATCCATGGCTGGGTCCTGGGTAATCCGTGGGGGAGAGAGGTGAGCGGGTACTCTCCTGAATCGGGGAGATTTCGGTTGGTTACCATCAAACGTGATGGTAAGCACCTTAGTGCCGGCCGACAGATCGGCGTTTAGGGAGTAGTTAGCTACCCTGTACGCTAGGAGGGGGAGTATAACTCCAACGAGTTCCCTGGGGAGGGACTTGTTTATCATCCTGTCAGATGATGACATGGCTAGGTTGGTAGCTAGGTTGATCAGCGAGGTTGATTTGCGAGTGATCACGGTGAACGTGAAAGACTCCGTGTGACGAGCTTGACGAACCAAACAGAGTGTGGTGACAACACGAACGGTGGCGGTGATTAGGCCATCCCAATCAAATTCTCTATGTAAATCTCCCTCTCCTCAGCAATACTTCAGATTCGGATCGGGATCCAAATTCTCAGCGCGGACTGTCTTCTACGACGTCCGCGCTTCAAAATCTCAGCGCGGATTGTCCCCTACGACGTCCGCGCCCCCAACTCTGCCATATCCAGACACACTAATAATATAGCCGTTTAACCAGCCACCCGCCCAATGTCAAGGACATCACTTTCACTGCCACACTCACCTGCACCAAGCCTATTCCCCCCCCCCCCCCCCCCCCCCCCCTCGGGGAAGGCCCCTGTTTATTAGCATAGGTTACCCTATCCACTTTTCATTTTTTTCTACTTAAAATTTTATTTTTCTTATTATATACTAAAACATCAGCTTAACTGATCTCTATTCTCTTTCTATCTCTCCTACCTTATATATACTCCCCTAGACCTTGGTTAACGTAGGACTTTTACAATCTCATTATGGCATCTCTCTGCCTCTTCACCCCAATCCCATCTTCTCTCCTACTTTATCCCCCTTCATTTATTATTATTCCCACTATTTATGGTTTCATAAGACCCCGTCTGCCCCGAGTGCGAAAAAGCCAGAGGTTGAAGCGCTCGTAAAATCTCCTAACTATTGCGTAAAACAAATTATTAAATTATTCCAACAGACACAAGAGATACAAAACAAACTACTTCTGGACAACAATAGACGGGGCTGACATCGACTCTATTTTCTCGGATGGCAGACCCAAATCAGCCATACGATCTACACACTTGCAATTGGGATTTTTCAATGTGAGGGAATTATTAAAAAATAAATATTAAATAAAACTTTTGTTTCAAAAACACAATTTCATGAATTCTTCCTCCACATTTATCCAAAAATCTCCCTATAGTAATAGCCACTATTTTTAGAATACTCAACTTAATTACAATGTAGCCTAAAGAAGGAGGCAACCATAAAGAAACATAAAGAAACTAATGAGATAAGAAACATCCTCCTTTTTATACCTAATGAACAGCGAAACTTATATTATAATCCACGTGGTGAAGATACAGGTGGTAATATACTAAATCCGTACGTCACACGTGTGTCGTACAAGGTTGACCTTGTTTTATTTGTTTTGATTGGAAAACAGTGACCTCTGTCACACCGAGATTACTTTTTTCATTCATAAAAATCGCGAGACATCATTCATTTAGCAACTGCAAGGCAGAACTGAAACAATCTCATGAGCGCGAGTTATATTTACAAACACTTCATTGAACCAAACAAGAAAGCCACACGCATCAAATTCGGTTTGCACTCTATATAAGTTATGCATAGAGCTTCTGCAGACATTATATAATCGAGCTATATCAATTTACAATGTACGACTACCGATCAATAGATCGAGGGTCCCCCGTGACGCACCCGACCACTTTTGCATCTTTCAATTTGATTTAACGTAAATGGATAAGCGTGGTGAAATGAAGTCAGTTTAAACTATCTGGACAGATATCTAGACTTACTTGGGATGATCCGGTTGCGCCATTAGTGCCCCATTCGAAGCGTATTTTGTGGCACTGTTTCGGGAGTTGTTTATTCACGACGGCACTACCAGATCACGCAAAGTTAACATTTCTGATACAAATCATTCGAAAACTTCGTAGAGGTGTGCCTGATTTCTGATTTTCGGCCCAAAATAGCCTAAATGTGAATAATAACATTCCCGATCTCTAGCGTAAATCGCTGTGAGTAGATCACACTTGTCCTTCCGAGCAGACTTGAGTTTCTTGATTTTCACGTCTTCGGCATAGGGTGGTACAGTTAACATGAATGTCTTTGGCGAAAACTCTGATTTCCCTCTTCCAAAATGGTACACCATATTTATTCAACCGATAGATCAAGGAAAGCGAACCATTTTGATTTCATAGACGGGACACCGGCAGTGCGAGTGACCGACTGTTGGTCCGATATTCAAAGTGCGGGGCTAATGTGACTTTTCAAATTTTCTTATAGGTTTCCTGCGTATTAACAACATGGCGCTTGAATAACCATAAGTTGAAGAAATTCTTCCAAATGGATCTTGAGCGTCAGTGCTGTTATGTTTGCAAACACAACTGCAGGCGCATGTTGTTAATGCGTATACATAGAAATGTCAACAATGCGCGTATTTGGGCATCTATCAATATTCATGCGCAACCACATTTTGCAACCGGTTTCAGTTTGGTCTGTCAACGAGCGTAAGGTGTTATGTATTTACGCTTAAATATATATTTAACGTGGGTAATAAATAAAATACCACACTCGCTCGGTCAGATTAGTCCACTCGTTTCGTAAAAAATGGTATCTAACGAGAATGATTTTGCCTACCTGGTAAACGGTATGTTTGTTTTGTTTAGAATGGCTGACGCAACATGAGATGTCCAAGTTTGAAACACTTTCTGAAGACGAATTATTTGACACTTCGCTGACGGAAAATTCTAGGCCAACTCTTCTTACGTGGGCATCCGATCGGCGATCCACAGGCACCTGAGATCTCCTCCATTTCAGAGAAATATCAATATTTTGTAAGACAGTAAGTTCCATAGCGCCCTGGGCATGCTAAGAACAATTTAAAAACTTGGTCTCGACAATGCCGATCACCATGAGGCCATTTCACAAGCAGATATGTCTTAAAATAGAAATCATCTGTCAGCTGACACACAGGTAAATTTGCAAAGAAGAGTCTGGATTGATGTAACTTTGGGCTTTGGTCGCAGGGAATATGAAAATCAACGCGATTGAACCATGAAATCAATTGTCGATGTTGGGTTTGAGATCATCACAATGACCGATCAACCAATCCCGTCCAGGGGGATTGCAAGGTAAGGGTGAGGCAAAACCCCGAATTTATGCCACTCAATGCCGGTCCTTGAAAATGTACATGTCAAAATTGCTTTCTACCAGCTTCCCGCAAAACTGTCACTGCTGGTGATTCATGTTGGTAAACATTATAACCGCTTGGCCTGAATCCTCTGCCCTAAATGATGTAAACAATTTACACAAACCATTGCCTTAGGGCAACCAGTGTCACTTTTTGTGCCATATCGGGGTAGAGGCACGTGAAATCATCAAACTCACTTGTCATAAAAATCAACAGTCCTTGATGAGTTACAACACTGACTCATCGGCGAACCAGAAAAATACTCTTCTTCGATTCAGCTGGGTTCAGATTCGACTGTCAGTCAAGTATCCTCCACTGTCACTTCTAATTTCAATCTTGCACAAAATGTAAAAACTGGCAAATCCGCCTCTTTCCAAATTTCAAATTGTTGCTAAACTTCAAGGTAATAAGTAGGTCAGGCAATTCCATGTAGTGTTGGCAGGCGGTACAGTACTACGGCAAACCAAACAGTAAGGTGGTTTCTTTCGTGTTTGGAGGGTTTATATAACCAAACTGTAATTGTTGCATTGAACAAATAGTTGTTTATGTTCTTTTGACGAATATATTTTTTACGTTACACTGTTTAAAAAAAACACAACGAAAGAAACTTACCTCCCCTTTCACAGACGAGTTCAATTCGCCTCTCATGCCATGCCGGATTACGCACTGTCTTCCTGGTACGAAGGAGTTCGATTTTAAATCGGTCATTGTAGAATGGAGACAAACGTACTGTGTTTGAAAATTAGATTAGTGTTAGACCGAATTGATAGTTTCGAAATAAAGCGTTCGGGTTCAAATTAATTTTAGAGACTATCAATTCGGTCTAACATTTATCTAATTTTCAAACACAAGTTCGTTTATGTCCTAAATATTTTATATCAAATCTTTTCAACGGTTATCAGACAATCTTGAGTATTTAACAAAGATGAGAAGTAATATTTAACCGCGCACTTTTACATCAACATAAACCTTTTCATAAGATGACAATATGAACAATTATATCAATCTCGAAGATAGTGACTGAAACTAATGTCAGGCCAGATTGTCTGAGGAATACATGTAGTCAGAGACACAGCATCCCGCACCCCAAAGTCACTTAATGAGTATAAATATTCCCCCGTATTTTTTGCCTTGTTCTTTACATAGTACATATATACTTTTGTTTTTAAAAGTCAAAGTTAATGTTAGCAAACAACTCAAGCTCTCGATCGCAAGAAAAAAAACCTGATATATGAATTATGGTATGAAAATAGAATAGTTAAAATAATGTACCTTGTTTAGTTTATGACTTACCTACCCACCTTAATGATTGGAAAAAGTAAATTACTTGTCACGGACGTACTATAGGTAACACACATTGGGGCTACAATATCTAGACCAAGCCAGAAGAAACAAGTGTGATACGTGTGGTCATGCACTTGCATTATTAAGGTATGTCCTGACATTCAAGACGCATATTCTTCTCTATAGGGTCGAGCGAAGCCACACCATCACATTTATCAATAGATGTTCCCAGTGGGAGCATTACTGGTCCTGTGTAGTTTAGTTTAGATTGGTACAATGTCTGCCGGCGATGTGGCGGATGTTACTGGTGACTTCAGAATGGGTACATGGATGTGTCGAGATGGCAACAAGGGTCCCCGTGGTCCACTAGATGATGACAATGTAAAGAGCATTCGTCACAGCCACAGGCAATGTGTCGAAGACAGCAAATCTGTGACTTTCTCTCATAAAGGTACCCGTGAAGTTACCACAAGTAAATACCGGCAGATTGGGTCGGTGGTCAGTTGTTTCGTTGCCAACATGTTTTATGGTGGTCTGGCAGCCTCGTACGGTGTCATGTACACATACATGAAGGAATCTCTTGGTGTCTCAGAGGAGGAGGTGACTTGGATAGGAGCTCTTTTTGGTGGATTTTCTGGAATTGCATGCAAGTTAAACCAATCTTCAGGATTCAGTATCTGATGCCATTAGGGTTGGGGGCATATATCGTTGTATGCGTTCATTGTTTTAAATACTTTGTACTGTCATATGGCTAGAATATTGCTGAGTGTGGCGTTTAACAACAAACAAACAAAATATACTGAACCGCAAAAGAAACGTCACCCCAAGTAACTTTGCATGAAAAGTTGTCATTTAAATATCTGGGTAATTTTTGTCAAAGTTTCTAAAATTTAACATTTCCTTGTCCGGAAAAATGAAATTTGATGATAAAAAAAACGAAATTACAATAAAGCCGATCAACCAAATGCATCACGGCAACGGACATGTTAACCTGATGCATGTGAGTTCCATGCAATTGAAATGCACACGCGTTCCCCATTTCTTGCCCTATAAAAATCCACCCAGATCAGGAAACTTTCATTCGTTATTGAATTGCTAGCACATGCCAAGATTGACAAGAAATAAGCGACACCAAACCCTTGGACGATTGTAAGCTGGACAAACCGCCCGGCAAGTAGCCAATGCATATCAAGTCCACGTAAGGACCATATACAGGCTCCAGCGACGGTGCAAGGCCACTAATACTACAGATGACCGACCACGTAGCGGAAGACCAAGGGTCACCACCCGACGTCAGGATCGTCAGATTGTGCGACAGAATCTTCAAGATCGCTTTGTTACTGCACGACAGACCATGGGGACACACCTGCGACACATTAGTGCGGACACCGTGGGTCGACGATTGACGAGCAGCCACCTCCACTGTCACAGGCCACACCGAGGACCCATTCTGACACCACGTCATCGCCGGGATCGCTTTCAGCGCAGGCAACACAGCACCAGCAACACAGCACCAGCATTGGCGCCACCAGCAATGGAGAAGAGTCCTCTTCTCAGACGAGAGCTGTTACTGTATCCCAACAGCAGATAAAAGAGAGAATCTGGTGACGCCGTGCGAAACGTTAATCAGATGCTTGTGTTGTTGAGAGAGACTCGTGGGGTGGTACGAGCATCATGCTGTGGGGTGGAATTGGTCTTGCACAGAGGGTCTGCCCTGTGGTCTTCCAGGACATCGGTCCTTGAAGAGGCAACGGTGTCAAAGCAGCTCGGTACATTGATCAAGTCTTGAGACCACACGCCATACCTCATTTGGCACGTCGCCGCAACCACGAGCTTCAGCATGATAACTCCCGTGCCCTCACTGCGAGAGCAACAAGAGATTTCCTCCAGCAGAATGGCATCAGAACCATGCAGTGTCCTGCCCTCAGTCCCGATTTAAATCCCACTGAGCACCTGCGGGACGAGATTCAAAAACGGCTGAATGACGTCCGTCCGACTTGTGGGCTCAAGTGCCTATGGCCTTCATCAACCGCCTCATCCATTCCATGTATCGACGTTGCACGGCAGTCAGCAATGCACATGGCGGACACACGAGATACTGACTTGTGATGCCATTTTCTCAGAGACTAGTGTCGTGTTTCACTATAAGAACATTTGACACTTTAATTTCAACCTTGATGATCAGTTGTGCCAAGTTTCATCTTTTTTTTATATGTATCAAAGTATGTTTACAGTGTTTGGACAAATAAGGTTTCTCATTTATCTATCCATGGTGACGTTTCTTTTGCGGTTTAGTATACGTTGTAAGTTACAATTGTAACAGCTAGCTTAAAGGGCTACAAGCGTCAAACAGTTTTTGCTTCAAGTCGTTTAAGCATCATTTTTTTGTAGGCGACCGCAAACTTTATCATGTAGATGATAAAATTGTGATTAACCCATTGTAACATCGATATATAATTTCAGTTTTACTCACGGTACTAATTATACAATATATTGACGTATACTAGAAATGGACATTAGACTACACTCGAAAACCAACCCCGGACAAACTCGCACATAAAAAGTTGACCTGTTTTGGGGTTTGAACTCAAAATAAGTTACATTAATCTGGAAACAATAGTATACAACAACAATAATCAACTCCAGTAACCTATATTCCAGCCATTCCTGGGGTAGTGTGTGTGGATGGCCTCGGGGGTCGACTTACCACGTTATTTGGAGGTTTGCTGGCCTTCACTGGCTTTATCATCGGCAGTCAGGTGAACGACCTGAATGTGTTGTACTTCGCACTCGGTGTTTTGCCAGGTCTGTATCGCATCACATCCTACTGATCAATGAATGATGTGATGGTCACGCGGGTAACTAATAAAGCCTAATAATTCTTCAGTAAATTTACAAACTAAGCATCCTCACTACTTGTAGGGAAAATAAAATATATTATCTTAAAATTGTACATTCTCCCTGATGTTTGGGGTTCTATTTCAAATAATACCTTATTTTGGAAAATCCTTCACTGGTTTTGAATACGAAGAAAATCTAAATCAAGAGAAAATATAATATTTCTTATTGCGTTACTCAGGTACTGGTGCGTGCTTTGCGTATACAGCAACCATGGTTCATGTCACCAAACAGTTTTCAAAATGGCGACCTGTAGCCGTTGGAATATCTGTAACTGGGTTAGCTGTTGGTATGTTCATGTGGCCACCATTATCAGCCGTTACTGCTGAAACGATCGGGTGGCGGGGTACATGTCTCATCAATGGTGCACTGACGCTACACTTAGTACCTTGCGCCATGTTGATAACTCCAAGAAACAGTACAAGTGAGTACAAAGTAACATCTATTAATTCCATATCTGCTCATTTAGAAATATCCATGGTCGGGACCCTTGCTATTTTATTATTATATTTAAACCAATTTCACAATGTCCTTTCACCATTTTTTAAAGATTCTTCTGATGGTCCAAGTGTCTCCTTGAGGCAGACGGTAGTCAATTGTCTCCAGGTATTCAAGATTCCAGGAACAATAACTGCCTCTATCGCTCACATCGCCTTCGGGTTCAGCTTCTACACTTTCTCCACCTTCGTTCCTGAATATGTTACAACCTCAATCTCCAGATTGACGGCAACACAAGCTGCTCTCGTAGTGACCGCCCCGGGATATGGCAGCATGGCTGGTCGTATTATATTTTCTGCCATTTCCATGGCAACTGACAAGGCTGCAAATTACATATTTCTTCTTTCAATCTGTGGGATGGGCGTCACCAATCTCTTAATTCCACTGTGTGAAAATCCGACTGCATTTTACATAAACGGGACGGTATATGGACTAGCCTTAGGTGAGATGTTCTAGCATTTTTCCTATTTTATTTGTCTTTGATTCAGAATCTCTACATAATGAAAGACTATACTGACTTATGTGACTTCATTTGTGTGTCACAAGTATTTTTTAAATGTTAAATTCATGTTTTACAGGAGGCTTTTTTGGTGTTCTCACTCTCGTGTTAGTTCAGCTGTTTGGACTTCATAACTTGTCAAAAACATTTGGCATGTTAATGATGTGCTTAGGATTTGGGGCATTTGGAGGATCACCTATACAAAGTAAGACATATAAATTGAAATCTATATAGTGTACGTTTTCTTTTGTAACTAGTTTTTAAGATATAGCAACATACCTATCATGTAGTAGACTAGATTATTGTCGGTCGAGGCGACTAAATATAATCGGCGGTCAGGCTCCATACCCCAACATGTAGCTCATGGTACAGATCACTTGTTTGTCTGCTCCAGATCCGATTACTTACAGACTGCTGATAGAACACACCAACTTAGGTACATTGCGATCATTGCACCTGAAATGTATACCTATTAATTTATGATATATATATAAAACGTAAATGCAAGAGAATAACCAGTCTTCATCGAAACAGATTCCATTTGTGGTACATAGCAAAATAGCTGTGGAAGGAAACTATATGAATGGAACACTGAAAATCAGGGATGACACCAAGGGTTCGCGAAATGGATAAGCATGTCCTGCCCTTCCCGTAGCACTCGCCATTCACACAATTTGCATACAAAAGAGAATTAGCCACACAGCGTTCTTCATCTTCATAGCAACCACTATGCGCGAACTTTAGGGTAGCAATAAGCGTACGCGATGAATAATATTTGGACAACTTCTTTTCACAAATACATATAAAATTAACTGTTGCAGGTTACCTTTCAACGATATATGACAGGAATATCCCGTTCTACCTTGCCGGGGGTTCGTTTATCCTGACGATGATGTTGATGCTGTCGGTAGTGATGAGGAAACAAATGGTGGTCTGTGGAAATCGGAGGCAATCATTCAATCTGGAAGTTGTAGGTTTTCACAACGCCGCTTTCATCACAGGCAATCAAGATGCCACGGTTTGATCTAATACCGGAAGGAAGTACACTGAATGGATACAGTCCCGCAGCTGTGTCAGGAGGCGACTCACGGGACATCAACAGTACGACTTTTTGGCAGCATACCTTGATTAATGTATCGGGGAAATAAGTATAATACTATTACACGAAATTATTATTGTCCAAGACACTGTCTCTGTAAGATATCTATACAATATTGTCTTTGCAGTATCTTTGAATTTTTTTACATATGTAGCAATGTGATTTTTAAGTAACAGTACCTGTTGTAACGGAACATATATACAGAGTTATCCGTACTATACTATCCTCGCAACTGGGTAACACAGAATTAGCCAGATCACACTATCCCCGCCACTACGGTACACATATATAGAGTTAGCCGGACTACACCGTGTATCCTAGAGAACCACGTTTTAGGTGGCTGGTACAGAGTGAGGAATGGGAGCTATTCCAGACTGAAATCCCACAAAGTTTCTTGGAACAGTTTTATACCGTGATCTGTGTTCAACTCTTTAATGCCTCACCAAGCTAAACAAAGCGAGTAAATGGAATAATGTGCTCATCTTATGTCACACGACATGGACATGTCATTGTCGTTATCATACGTTTTTATTATTAGCTCGAGTGGCCGAGACTGCATCTGTCCACCATCATATGATATCAGGATGATTCTTCTAACAATAATGAATAATCGCTCGGCTCTCTCTATAGGTATGTCAACCCTTGGCAGGTTGAGCGTGTTTTTATCCACGTATAAACAAAGGCAGATGGGACTTGTTCGAGGAGGGCACAGAACCCCTCCAACAATACCTTCGAATTTGCAGACCGTTGTCATATAGCTGGAATATTGCTCCAACAGAGCTGGTCACCGTTATGTTTGAGCATGAACACATTGTTCCTGCAGCAGCAGATCCAAAATAGCAAGCGAATATCCATGTTCGAGGCCTCCAAAGGACGTTTCTTCTGACGACCCAATTTCCATGGCAGTAATTGAATGTGCAGATTCCCTTTCAGATTTGTGTGCTAATAATGTTGATTTTTTTCAAGTGATCCACTTCATATGCTAAATAAAATTTACAATACAATTTGTGATTTGTCAGTTGATCAATGCAATCCCATAAAATGGTTTAAAAAATCATTTCCAAAAAATGAAGGTCACCCATGTATTCCAGTGAACTATTTTGGAAGCAGTTGTGGTCTGTGTCCAGCTACTGCAACCTGGTTGAAGAGTACGATGCTAGTATGTCTGGTAACATTTGTCCACGATGCCTGCACTTCATTACTTCTGATTGCCTGAATCGAAGAAAGTTATAATCAATCTAAACCCAATACTGCACCAAGGTCTGATGGCATTCGAAATCGGTTCTGTCATTACCTACTTGATGAAATCTTTGAACCTGATTTTGGACACATCGGAAGTTCCTCCATGGTTATGCAAAGGACGTGCATTACTTCTTGAAAAGGTGATCAGACTGACCCCCAAACCTACCTCCCCATTACACGTCTCAACACAATTTACAAACGAAGAGCCTTTGGAAATAGTGTCATCCTAAAGCTCTTCCAATGACATAATGTACAGAAGGGAGCAAGCAAGGTTTGTTGGGGAAGGACCAACTTTTGGTAAAAATGTGATCCTGGAGGACGCTCAAACATACCCCGGAAGCCTCTCCATGTGCTGGATTGACTACAGAAAGGCATATCACTCAGCCCCTTACAACAGGATTTTGAGGTGACTACAGTGTATTGACCTTCCTGAGCATTAGGCATGATCATTACCTTGTTGTAGATATCTCTGTGGCCGGATACATTGGTAGTTACGTCACACTGGAGTGGTACGTTGTTGTAGATATCTCTGTGGCCTGATACATTGGTAGTTACGTCACACTGGAGTGGTACCTTGTTGTAGATATCTCTGTGGCCTGATACATTGGTAGTTACGTCACACTGGAGTGGTACCTTGTTGTAGATATCTCTGTGGCCTGATACATTGGTAGTTACGTCACACTGGAGTGATACCTTGTTGTAGATATCTCTGTGGCCTGATACATTGGTAGTTACGTCACACTGGAGTGATACCTTGTTGTAGATATCTCTGTGGCCTGATACATTGGTAGTTACGTCACACTGGAGTGATACCTTGTTGTAGATATCTCTGTGGCCTGATACATTGGTAGTTACGTCACACTGGAGTGGTACCTTGTTGTAGATATCTCTGTGGCCTGATACATTGGTAGTTACGTCAAACTGGAGTGGTACCTTGTTGTAGATATCTCTGTGGCCTGATACATTGGTAGTTACGTCACACTGGAGTGGTACCTTGTTGTAGATATCTCTGTGGCCTGATACATTGGTAGTTACGTCACACTGGAGTGGTACCTTGTTGTAGATATCTCTGTGGCCTGATACATTGGTAGTTACGTCACACTGGAGTGGTACCTTGTTGTAGATATCTCTGTGGCCTGATACATTGGTAGTTACGTCACACTGGAGTGGTACCTTGTTGTAGATATCTCTGTGGCCTGATACATTGGTAGTTACGTCACACTGGAGTGGTACCTTGTTGTAGATATCTCTGTGGCCTGATACATTGGTAGTTACGTCACACTGGAGTGATACCTTGTTGTAGATATCTCTGTGGCCGGATACATTGGTAGTTACGTCACACTGGAGTGATACCTTGTTGTAGATATACATGTGGCCGGATACATTGGTAGTTACGTCACACTGGAGTGATACCTTGTTGTAGATATCTCTGTGGCCTGATACATTGGTACACACTGGAGTGGTACCTTGTAAATTTCTCTGTGGCCATATACATTGGTAGTTACGTCACACTGGAGTGATACCTTGTTGTAGATATCTCTGTGGCCTGATACATTGGTACACACTGGAGTGGTACCTTGTAAATTTCTCTGTGGCCTGATACATTGGTAGTTACGTCACACTGGAGTGATACCTTGTTGTAGATATACATGTGGCCGGATACATTGGTAGTTACGTCACACTGGAGTGATACCTTGTTGTAGATATCTCTGTGGCCTGATACATTGGTAGTTACGTCACACTGGAGTGATACCTTGTTGTAGATATACATGTGGCCGGATACATTGGTAGTTACGTCACACTGGAGTGATACCTTGTTGTAGATATCTCTGTGGCCTGATACATTGGTACACACTGGAGTGGTACCTTGTAAATTTCTCTGTGGCCATATACATTGGTAGTTACGTCACACTGGAGTGATACCTTGTTGTAGATATCTCTGTGGCCTGATATATTCCGGCCCATTTTGTCATCTGCAGATTCCGGCCGATTTGGTCATGATGTGTATATTCTAGCCTATTTGGTCATGATGTGTATATTCTTGCCCATTTGGTCATGATGTGCATATTCCGGCCCATTTGGACATGATGTGTATATTCCAGCCAATTTGGTCATGATGTGTATATTCCGGCCCATTTGGTCATGATGTGTATATTCCGGCCAATTTGGTCATGATGTGTATATTTCAGCCAATTTGGTCATGTGCATATTCCGGCCTATATGGTTATGTGTAGATTCCGGCCCATTTGGTCATGATGTGTATATTCCGGCCCATTTGGTCATGATGTGTATATTCCGGCCAATTTGGTCATGATGTGTATATTTCAGCCAATTTGGTCATGTGCATATTCCGGCCTATATGGTTATGTGTAGATTCCTGCCCATTTGGTCATGATGTGTATATTCCGGCCCATTTGGTCATGATGTGTATATTCCGGCCCATTTGGTCATGATATGTATATTCCGGCCCATTTGGTCATAATGTGTTTATTCCGGCCCATTTGGTCATGATGTGTATATTCCGGCCCATTTGGTCATAATGTGTATATTCCGGCCCATTTGGTCATGATATGTATATTCCGGCCCATTTGGTCATAATGTGTATATTCCGGCCCATTTGGTCATGATGTGTATATTCCGGCCCATTTGTTATAATGTGTATATTCTGGCCCATTTGGTCATGATATGTATATTCCGGCCCATTTGGTCATGATGTGTATATTCCAGCCAATTTGGTCATGATGTGTATATTCCAGCCAATTTGGTCATGATGTGTATATTCCGGCCCATTTGGTCATGATGTGTATATTCCGGCCCATTTGGTCATGATGTGTATATTCCGGCCCATTTGGTCATGATGTGTATATTCCGGCTCGAAGTGAACTTTCCGCTATAATGGATAGTGTTTACAAAATCACGTTTCAGGTACACCGGTTATGAGACGCCTGTAACATCAAGTATATTTTAAACTTAGTTGCGATACATATATCCTTGAATTCCTCATACATTTTAGAATAAAATGACCAATGGTCTTTGTCACCAATACAAAGTGTCTAGATGAAACAAGCAAAATAAGTGTAGCATTTTCTCCTATTTTGAGCTATCCATTCGTCTATTCGTTCAAGATATTGGCTCAACATTTTCAGAATATGCATGGGAAGAGAATCGTAGGAAGAATTAGGTAATTTAAGATAGATACAATGCTATGATTTGATATTTTCAACAGAAAATGTCAAAGTTACCGTCCTGTGTGACGCCATGACTGACGCAAAATCACGCACAACGACAACGGTATTTATCGGAATTTCTGACTATTTCCGTTGCTTTCAATAACAATTATAACAACAAGTAACAGTACATAGATTGTCAGAATGTTTCTGATTACCTACATGTCACATTTATGTATATACAATCGCTGACTCAACGAAAGTACCCTCGTAGATTCCCGCGTACTGATGACAGTGAACACGCAATTTTGTGATGTCATACGTCAACATTGCTGTACATATTTGGTAATATCTTTGAGGTGAATGTCCTTTAATGAGAGTGCACACGATCATTGTATCATGCTGTTTACAGTTTCAGTTATAAAGTAGAATTTGCATATTTTTATACATTTTTTCACACAATTAATTGCACTTTGGATATTTGTCAATGTTCAAAATGATATCATACGTAAATATAGGCCACAACATGTATGAACGAACCTTTGATAATCTCCTGTTTGTTTTAACATTGTTTACATAAGAATCGATAGGTTTATAGTGTCGAATACGATATCTTTTTCCTTACAAGTGTTACAAGATGAAGTGTAAGTGTAACTGCAGCATGTACGTATTTCTTTGAATGTTTAATAGTCAATATTATAAGTTCTTATAACCAATGCCCATGAATATCCCTTTCATTTTATTTTACAACTAAACTGAATACACTCCTTTAACAAAATGGATAATATGTTTCGTTAAAATATATGCACACATTTCTGAAAGAATTGTCTTGGCCTTGGAATTGTCTTTTTATGTCGTTTAATACACAGAACAGTGATATCTAACGATTCGCCAGGTGCGCGTTAGTCATAAACAATTTACGAATTATTCCTCTCATTTTGCATTATATAATCAATTCGTTCATTCTTTTTTTCAATATTGTGATCACAGGATATTTTTAAACTGTTTACTTTATTTCTCCAGGAATAAAAAAATGTGTAAAAACAAAACCAATGCCAGGTACCCTGTTCACGGGTTCAACCTTATACGATTATCCTGATATTTCTATACCCATAGAGCTTTCGTCGCATCTTTTATTGTGTGATTCTGAGACGAGATGAAGAGAAACAATAACATCATAATGAACAAATATATGTCCAATATTGAATGTAATTTTGGTTGTTTTGTAATATTCTTTTGGTTATTTCATTACGTAAATTGATGCCGAACAGGGGCGTGTCTTAAGATACACGATAAACTATCTAATTGTTTACATATTAAAGCCATTATTTACTTTGTGAAAGCAGTCATTTTATGTTGTCTCAAAAAAGCGTCAAATTCCGTTTTACACATCGAGATTTTCCATACCATGAACGAACATTTCGGGAGATATATATTAATCAAAATACCAGTGTCGTCTTTCCCCGACGTTATCAAAGACATGAAACCAGACATGACGCCAAAAGGAATGGTGTTGTTTTGTTGGTATTTAATTACATTTGATGATAAGGCTAGTGCTCTATTAATAATGGTGCAACATAAGTCAAATTACACTTGC